CAGAATATAATCCTAAAAATTTCAGATCAATTCACCCAAAAACTGAGAACCGATTTCTCAAAAAACTATAAACTGCTCAAATTGGCTAAACTAGTTATGCCGATTTGAGTCTCGGTTCAGATCTGATCTATTTCGGTTCAAGATTGAAACTTTGGATCTAATACCACTGAAGGAAGGTGTAATCCATCAAATGGATGGCCGAACCATGCTGGATGGTTTGGCAAAATTTCAAAAATTTTCTTTCACCTTCCAGGAATCGAATTTTCAGTTTTAGAAAAACTGCATTTTTCAAGGATTGTTCTTGCACTAAAACCGGATCAGATTTAAAACTAAAAGGAAGGAGAAGAATACCTGATACTGATTGTACAGATGTAGCTCCTAAAGTGGTATTTCACGCCCAAGTAGAATCCCAAACCAACCTCCACTGAAGATGGCACAGCTTGGAGTAAAGCCGGTTTAGCAATGTAGTTTTCAACAAAACTACAATCCAACTAGATGGATCAAACAAGGGAGATAAGCACAGTTTTTCTTTACAATTTTCTTGCAAAATTAAGGAAAAGAACTGATCAAGATCAGTCCAAGAATTGGAGGTCGAACTAGGGTGTCTAGGTGGCAAGAGCAGAGAGAGAGAACTGAAAGCAGAGTGATATAGAGCAGTTTGCCTCCTCCCCTTTTATAAGCCTTAAGAAGCACCACTCCTAATCGAATTAGGAGGTTTGTAATCCAAATCTTTATTTGGATTTGGACTCTATCAGTATATAGGTCTTATCCTCTTATGAGAATGGGTACTCCAAACCCATATTCGCCCATGTCACATGACTGCTTAAGTTGTAATGTGACATCTTGATTAATCTTATTAATCATGGGCTTCAGGCTCATTAAGCAAGTGGCTTACATCCCAAGAAAGTTGCTGGCCCATTTAGGTTCAATTTGTATGACGTGGGACCCCAATAATGACCTTACATAAGCCAACATGGGTTCTGCCCAGCCTTTGTAAAAAGACCTGGCTGAATTCACTGTTGAACGCAGTGAACACCTGAGCCCATCACTATGGGCTCAAAATGGGTCCAACATTTATAATTAAATTATCCATGAGTCCAGCCATTTTATAAAGGCCTAAGGATAATGGACTTAAGCAAGTAATCAGCCCTTAGTGGTCTCTTACACTCAACCTCTCAGTGCACATGATCAAACACTGTCCGACAGGAAAAGACCTCTTCATTGACTGCAAGGTGCCGTGTTGTGCTCTCTACTCCGATGGTCTCAAGAATTTCTTTGAAATATATATACATATAAATGTATTTTGCAAAACAAATCTCAAACACGGTTGAAATTGACTACCGATAGTTTTGGTTTCCATTAGAGAGAGTGCAATCTCGATCATTCACTTTGTCCGACAAAGGGGCTAATCCTATCATTATGATCACCCACTAAAGTGAGTTCTCAGACTACCCCATACACAGGTTTTGATCCCCAAAGGATCTCACTGATTGGCATATTAAAGATAACCTGACCTGACACTCTATGAAGTATCATAATCAAGTCTAGGGGTTATGTGCAACTTTTCAGTTTTGCCCATCAGTCTCCAAGATATAAAGTGTAACTAGAAAATGGTCCGGTTCAGTGCTTCAAACAAACATACGCTACATATGCTTCAGGTCTAACCCTAGCAGCCGAGACAAGCAGCCCCAACTTCTTTAGCAACACATTAGTGTCAGCCTTGGCAAGATAAACTCTCCAAGTCTATCCATTAGCTGAGAAAATTCTAAACTAACACGAGTCTCATAAGTGTCTAGTTTAAGGGGTAATTACACAGAAACACACCAATGATAACATGAAACAATTATGTGTTTTTAGTCATTTACAATAAATGTATCTATACACCAATCTGATTGGAACTGTGGGCACACATTGTCTAACAATTAGTTCAATTTTGAATACCCAATTCGCCTCATTCATTTTATTTCTTTTTTCTTTTGTATCCTCAAAACAAATGATTTCTATCTATATACAAACATGTCAATACTCAATAACGCCCTACATCCCTAGTGAAGATGTGGGTGATTTATTAGAAGAACAAGCATACAAAGTTCGCAATACATGCTAGAACCTAGAATGTAAGGAACCATGCATATTTTGATGAATTCCTAGCTGTACAATGGATGGACAAGGATTAAAAGCAAATTATATGGTAGATTTTAAAAGGGATAAAAAGAAGTTAGTTTGGTGATTTTGAGATTTTATATTTGCTGGAACCATTACTTTGAGAACAATTGGATCTAAAAATCCCAATTCTAGATTTGACCCCATAGAATTAATTCTAATTTTACATACATAACTAATGAAAACTAAAATGAACCATGCCAATCTTGTATATTAAACTTTCAAAGTGGTGATTCAAAACATTCAAACCAATTTAAATACTAATATTTGTTCTTTGAGGTCATGTACCATAGTCAAGCAGCTGACCATATAAGTTTTATAAGGCATAATTGAGTCGAGTTGAGAAACATTTGCAATGAAGAACATAGAAACTATTTGTAAAGCTCAATCCTTAATGTTCTACACCATAGCTACATCAAAAAACCAATATGGGTTTTCATGATTATAAACATTCATTCATTCATGATTCATTAATTCTAACAGTCCTAAACAATGAAAACTAGACTACTGTAGTAAGAAATATACTAAACAATGAAAAACTGACTATTGTAAAGTCCATGGACTTAAAAGACATGTTTGAGGCGACAATGCCACAACTTCAAAAGACTCAAATTTTCATTTTGACATGACTCAATCTGGCATAGTAGTTCTTACTCAGAGATTTGATCAAAAAAGTAAAATCCATTAGCTTCATGTCTAATTCCAATCGTCCTCCCCATTTTTAAGTCATAAAAAACACAATGAAAAGGGAAAAAGGTCACTAAAAAAATTATGAGATTTGGTAAGAGAGTTAATAGATAAAAGGTTTTTGTACAATTGAAGAACACGAAGAATATAGCTCAAGGAAAGAATGAAAGATCACAAGTAAGCTTGATTTTGCCTTTCCTTAGAACCAATTTATAAGAGGTGAAGTGGGAAGACATACTACTCATATGTGCACTAGCTCTAGAGTCCACAATCCAGGAGCTAGTAGAAGAAGATTGACAAGCAAGTATAGTACCTGTTTTCACAAAAGCACTAATAAAGGATTACTAGAACCAATAGAGGTAGAGGACCTATACTTCTCAAGTTAAGTAAGACCTTGACCTTCTCTATCACCATCCTTAGAGTTCTTCCATTTGAAGGCCTTGAAACGGTCTATTTCTTCCCATAGAGACTACAAGGAAGAGAAGTACATGGTTGCAGTCCTCTCTTCTAATGTATATTACGGGCTTTTCTTTGGAGCTGGTCGACTCGGGTTGTATTTTTTGCTTAAGAATATGTAGCTATAAGATGATTCCAAATATCTTTTGTAGTGGATAGGAACATGCAATTACGGGCAATATATGGATGCATCAAATACACTAGCTATGACAACCAACGAATTATCTTGTTCCCATTTGGCAAGTTTGGGGTCATCAAGTTTCAACTTCACCACTTTAGTAGTAATGAATCCTAGCTTACCCCTACCTCCAATAGTAAGCTTAGCTGATTGAGCCACTCTAAGAAGTTAGTTCAATCAAGTTCCACAATGGTTATCATACCACTAGAGACATCAACATTGCTCGGGAACACTCAAATAATAGTTTGTACTTTCTTAGATAAATCCATTTGATTTGGGTAAGCTTCTTGACAGCTCTACAACACTCCAATAGCCAACTAACACACACTAGGCCCACCAAAACTGGGAAACACTCGGTTAGAGTCAAATAGGAGGCCAAAACTGAACCGTTGGTAATATATGAGGGGAACAAAACCTCTTAAAAAAAATTAGGGTTTATAAATGTAGAACCACTTTCCATACCTCAAGTCAAACAGACCAAACACAAGTTTCAAGCAAGTATTAACCTCAAATAAAGAGGAGAAAAGAAATCCAAACATCGAACCAATAATTTTCTATAATTAGGGCACACCAAAGTAAACCAAAATCCCTAAAATTAAGGCCCCCGGTACATGAAAGGAGTACGGACTGTTGACATCATTCGACTACGGTTTGACATCAAATAGGTCTTCTTGAGTTTAGGAGTTAACAAAAAAGCTATTCCAATATTCCTTCCCACTCCGATATTTGACGTCAATAGGTCTTCTTAAGTTCAAGAGTTGACAAAAAAAAAGCTGTTCCAACTTCCAAGATTTCTTCCCGCTCCAATACCAAATCATAAGAGTGTTTGAAGAAGAGAGTGTGTTACTGTTTACACCGAAAAATTTTCCTTTTATTAAAGGGTACAATTACATTTATGCTCTTATGGGCATCCAAATACAAATAAGATGAAATGACAACAATACCCCAATGCCAAATACATATTTAGACATTTAATTTCTGTTATGATTTGTTGCATTTATTATCATATAAATTTCCGGATCCTACATAAATGGACCATACCCTAAGTTAAATATTATTTTACTTATTTGCATAATATTGGAGGACAGCCCAATGGTGAGTAGTCATACCTTTGAATCAAATGGCAAGATTTGAATGGTAATTAATTATTTTAATTTGAAATTTATAAATAGACCACAATTGATGATTTGGTAAAGACACAACTAATGATATGCTAGGGATGTCATCCAGCCGGGTATGCATGGGCTTGCTTTCATTCTAACCCAATCCTGCAATGCATCCATGGTTCGACCTGAACCCGACCCAACCTGACTTGATAAAATGTAATTTCTAAACCCACCTCAAACCCCCAGTGTTTAACCCAATACTGATTCAACCCGATCCAAGGAATTTTAATCGTGTTATTTATAACACATTTGAAAACCCAAAAACCATTTATTTAAGTTGGAATTTGTTTTTTTTGGGTACAAAAGTATCATCTGATGGCATGGTGAAAGAAGATAAACCAAAACAAATATGAAGAAAAAAATCCTAAACTTTAGGATTATGGAGTTAGAAGTCATACCAAATTACAAGAATTCTCTCTTTCTCTCTCCAGGAACACAAGAACACAAGAACAATGTTAGTTTCCAGGTTGAATTTTAAAACATTCCAGCAAGTATTACCAAATTAACCCTAAGGCGGCCATTATTTGATGCTATGGTAAATGAATTAAAAGCAAAAACAGGGGGTTCAAGTCCGAGTAGCATCTTAGGCAAGAAAATGCCAAATATAAGTCCATATCCAGTCCCCCTTCCCAAGACCCAAGCTAGCAGAGATCAATACTGGACAATGGCCCTTTAACGAGTATGTTTGGAGCTATAGTTATATCTCTTTTCCAAGCGTAAGGCAAAATACATCATGTGCAGAACTTTTAATACAGAAAACCTGTATACAATTTGGATAGGAAAGAACCTGTGTTTTCCATAAACCCAAAATGACCTGCATTTGGTAGAAGTTGAAATCCCTTCATGCTTCAATGCTGATGTTAAGTTCATGCACATAATGCCACTTCAAAGGATTTGCTAGAAAGACCAAAGGATCTTATGCGTTATTTTCTCTGGGGATCCCGGCTAAGACCATGCTTCTTCAGGGTCTTGACATAATTCCTCATGAGGGTAAATTTGTTGCTCCCAAGATGATAGAAGTAATCCCATGTATAGATTCCAGTGTCATGCAAGTCATCAAAGATTATTCTGCTTAGTGGAATAGCATCAAAGTTGCAAAGCAAATCAGTCCTCAGAATGTGCAGTTCAGAGGTGCCAAAGAACAGCACCACCAATAAGTTAAGTCTCAAATACCTTACTCCATAGTTCCCCACAGGTTCTGCAGACATAATCCCCACATAACGTCGCCCATGTATAACCTGATTCAGGAATAAGGCAGGTCATTAAGAGCAATGAGGAAATCATAGAAATCAGATTTAACTGATGACGGTGATGGTAGAAGTTACCTAAGTAATGATTTTCCAGTTCCTGATACAGGAATAGGTATATGCAGGCATTTAATCATGTGAACTTCAGTGCAATACAATTCATGGGAACAGTTTTTACAGGACAAATCCTAGAGGTCTATTGAAGAAGAGGTTAAAAGGTCAAAATTATCTCTGCTAAAGTATAAAATGAGGAAAAAGGTGAACTATAACAATATATATTACTTGTATAAACTGCCAATGGTCTTTTATATAGTTTTCAAGGTGCCAAGGCGAACCTAGGCAACAAGAGAGCACTTAGTTGCCTAGGTGTCGCTTAGTGACTAAAAAGGATAGAAAAAACAAGGGGCCAATCCCTGTTTCTATTATAGGAAAAGAAGTAAAAAGACAAAAAGGAACATGGAAAATATTTTCTTTTGAAGAATAAGAAACCCCCGCCCAAACCGCAAAAGCATCTAGCCTTTAGCTTCAAACGTCTCGTCATAACCATCATCATCATTGTTCCAGACCTTACCTCCTTCCCTTACCAATTTCTTCTTCATTCTGTCTTCCTTTTTGCTCTTTTCAAAAATTTCAAAAGCTCTTCTAGCGAACTCATCTCCCCAGAAAAATAAACCTTAGCTCTTGCCAATTCCAATCTCCCTATCAACTAGGCTCTTAATCTCCGCTTTATCCCCCTCCTCTCCAGCTTGTTGAGCCAAAGTGAAACAACTCGTACCAACTCAACCTCCCTCCTCCATATTCCTTGACCCTACCCTTACCTCCATACCTTTGCCGGAGTCGACATTTTCTCCACCTTTTCAGCTTGAAACTCTTCCCCCCTCCTTTCATCACCCTTCTTCAAATCTAAAACTTTTAATTTCCTCTTGTAGATTGCCTTATATTTATTGGAAGGACCCACCCCAATCAACCCGTCTTTTAGCCTTGAAAAAACCTCCGACATGTGAACAAAATGAAACTTATTTGTGTCTGACTTTCTTCAATCCTTCTGAAGATACAATGTTTCCTTCCTTGTTCATGCTCCTTAATCGACCTAAATTGACTCCAATCTTCCCAACTGGAACATCAAGCTTTTGGAACTCCTTGTACACTGATGACAAACCAGATTCCCCGTCCTTGTCCAAAGCCTCTTCCGAATCCTCAGCACAGCAACTAGTATTTGGTCTCTTGTCGGCACCTGCTTCCCAATCATCCTTTTCTACCCTTCCTTCCTTTCCCTCTCCTTCCAACCTTACTGATTCCATTATTGTTTCCCTTGAACCCACCTCCCTTCCCTCCTTCTGGTCTCCTAATCAGCCAGTGTTTTGATCCTCCACATCCAAATTCCATGGTTGAGATGAGTAAGGAGGTAGCTCGACAACGGATTCACTGAAAGAAATAACTTTACCTATTTTCTGACCAAGCCTTGTCTTCTTATTCTTTCTTCCACCACAGGGTTCCTTTGAATCAAAGATATTCTCAAACCTGCCGCATTGAGCTCCCTTCTTTCTTCCACCATATGGGGTGGAGCCCCTATTCTTGTCTTTTGAAAATGAAGCAGAAAAAGAAGACCCAAAAGTGGGGGTGAAGAAGGGGAGGAGCCCCTGTTTTAGTTCCAGATATACGAAGAAGGGGCTGAGTCCTTGTTTTTGTTCTAGAAGAAGAAAAGGAAGGATCGGAGCCCCTGTTTTTGTTCCAAAAAAAGGAAGAAGTGGCAAAGCCCCTGTTTTTGTTCTAGAAGAAGAAAAGGAAGGATCGGAGCCCCTGTTTTTGTTCCAAAAAAAGGAAGAAGTGGCAAAGCCCCTGTTTTTGTTCTAGAAGAAGAAAAATAAGAAGGGGTGGAGACCCTGTTTTTTTTCCAAAAGAAGAAAAAGAAGGGGCAGAGTCCCTGTTTTTTGTTTCGAGAAGAAGAACATACCTTCTACAGTTGGTTGGTGTTCCTTGCTTAAGACTCCAAAGTTCGAACTCTGTATTACTCAAACCCTGTTAGTCTTCCTTGGTTCTCAGCTTTCGAATATCTATCATTCAAAACCCCAACAAAATAAGAAGCTAACAATAAAAAATATTATTTTGTGAAATAAATGATAGAATGATACAATGTATCATGCGTATATTAATATTATATACTAAGAATATAAAAACATATGAAAACATTATAAAACTTTGTAAAAGTGGTATATAAACCGCTTGACGTTTAGGCAAGGTGAGCCCCAAAAAGAGACTAGACGCCTAGGTGTTGCCTTGACAACTTAGAAATGGCAGTTCAGCTTCCCAAAGCTAACTAGCATTGGACAGTAAGTAAACCAATTATGGGGGTTCGGAAGCTTGAATTCAAGATTAACTAGAAGATAGCCTAAAATTAAAAAACAAATTGGTGCCATTGTGGTTATATTCATTTTATTCCCATGCAGAATGAATGACATTCCCTTTTTGTCTCCTATAACCCCATCAAACCAATATGCCACAAGTGCACCCTGACATACAGGAGTCATACCATTAATCTCAGATTTACTAGAATCCACCCTGGACCCTCTGGATAAAGCATACTTGCATGGCACTCCCCCAAGTCCTCAGTTTTTTGGTAGGCTCACCGCCCATCTATCATCACAAACGGTCCATGCAGCCTGCCTAGGATTCTTTTGATTATGTAGAGATAATGGGCTGAATGGGCTTTAATTTCTTTGTTTTCCTTTAAGTTATGTTTATGATTTGTGTTAGTAGGTAGTTGGCCTTAGTTATGGACTTGTTTTCTTGTTTTTATTGTTGTCTTTAGTGATGGACGCTCTACTAAGGGCACTCATGTAATTGTCTTTATTTTGTACAACAAAAGAATAAAAGAGATCATTGGGGGCTGAAGAGAGGTTTCAAAACAACTCTCTCTTCTTCTTCCTTTTCTTCCATCTTCTTCCTCCATCACTTCTCTCTCTTCAATCTCCTTTTCTTTTAATTCAGATTATTGCAGGTGTGATTTACAACTTGGTATTAGAGCAAGTTCTCACCTTCTTTTCTTTCTTCTCTCTTTGCCCATACACAGTGTTTGGAGAATTGATCAGCTTATTAGGGAGCAGCTTATGTAGCCCAGTTGGGAGGGGCTTTGGAGAGGTTTTGTGAAGTTTTCCATTCCCAGTTCAAGCCCAAGGCAGGTTCTTGGAGTTTTTTCCCAAAAACCCCAGACAACTGGAGAAAACTAGTTATAGGTCCTAGAGACGCTTTGAAATTGGCGCTTGGAGATCAAAGGGTAGTCTTTTGATTTTCATTAAGGGCAATCTGAGTTGGGCAGGGCTTTAGAACCTTTGATAGGAGCAGTTGAACTTTCTCCTCTTCTCCCTTTCGGGCAGGTCCTGTGAAACTCTAAATTTGGCTGTTTGAAGAGTAGTTTTTTGCTTGGGATAGCAATTCTAGCTTAGTTGAGACTTATTTTGATTTTGTTTCACTCAATGGACCAAACTGGAGGAGAAACCAAATATCCCACAGATTTCGGGTTTGGACATAGGGGCTCAATGGAGAATCTTTTTGGGGTAGTGACCATTGTGAAGCTAAATGGGACCAATTATTTAACCTGGTCTTAGTCTATTAAGATACATGTGTGTAGTGGAGGGAAATGGGGTTATATCACCGGGAGCAAGAAGAAACCGAGGGAGGATGACCCTACCTATGAAAGGTGGATGTGGGAGAATTACACAGTAGTGGGTTGGTTAGTGAATTCTATGCAGCCACATATTAGCGAGCACTACTTGTGGATGGAAACTGCAAAGGAGGTATGGGATAATGTCACAGACACCTATTCCCAAAAATTGAATGTTTCTCGAGCTTACAAACTAAAGAATGATGTGATTAATCTAAGACAAGGGGAGAAGCCCTTAGCTATTTACTTCTCCATGCTAAAATCTCTTTGGCAGGAGATTGTGGTTTGGGGGTATATAAAGGATGTTGAAACACATAGGAAGCTAGTGGAAAGAAATCGGGTTTTTGAGTTCCTTACCGGACTCAACCCGAAGTATGATATTGTGAGACAAAATGTTTTGGTGAAAGATGAGGTAACTTTATCTCAGGCTTATTCTATGGTGAGTAATGAGGAGAGTAGGAGACAAGTTCAATCTGCAGAGCCACAAATGGATCACTATGCTAATGTCGGGAAGAAGTCGAAGGTCAGCATTGGGAAGAAAAACGTTATTTGTGAATACTGTAAGAAGCCTAAACATATTAAAGACACCTGTTGGAAGCTGCATCCAGAGCTTATACCTACTAGACTCAAGAATGTAAATAATGGAAAAGGGAATGAGAATGTGAAAGGTGGAAATGCAAATGTAGCCACCTCCTCATAGAGTGGACAGGGGCATAGTAGTAGGAGAGAAACTAGCAGTAGACCTGGCAATTGGGTTGGGTGGGTTGGGTCAAGACGCTTCGGGTTGATTTCGGTCATGTTGAATTTTGGGTTGGGTTATCAAATGCTAGATCCTAATCCTAAATGTTCGGGTTAGGGTTGACCCATGGGTCAATTTGGGTCATCCTAAAAAATAACTGAAATTAAAAAAAATAAAGAAAAATTACATGAAAAATGCCAAAATTAAAGGAATTAACCTTAAAATTCCAAATATAAAATAAAAAACTTGAACATTAACAATTTAAAGAGTAAACAATAAAGAGTAAAGACTAAATAGAAAAAATTAAAGAGTGGAAACTTCTAACAATGCATAAATAGTCCCAATTAGACTTGACAATTGGGTCAATGGGTTGACCTATGACCCAACCCAACCCAACCCAGTTTTTTCTGAGTTGGGTCGGGTTGGGTCATTCTCACATTCAGGTATCCAAATATAAGACCCTAACCCTATTTTTTTGGGTTGGGTTGGGTCGGGTTCACGGGTTGGGTCAACTTTTTGCCAGGTCTAACTAGCAGCCACCAGGGTTGAGTATGAGAAGTATGGCCGAATAATTAGTCACCTGGAGTCTAC